CGTGCGAAAAGAAGGGAGATGTGGTGACTGGTCCACCAGTGGTGGTAAAAGGCAAAAAAAACAGTCGAAATGCATAAAAACGCCTGCGCGCTGGCGGCGTGGGGGGGGGGTGCGTTCGGCCTCAGGGCATTTCATGGTTGAAGTGAGTCATTACCGACGTAAGCAAACCAGCCCTTTTGGCGCTTCGGCTGGGACCGTATGCTGAATGTTGGGGAGGGGATGGAGTCCCCGACGGTGGACGGACCACTTCAACTCGGTCCTTAGAACCGCCACAATTTGGTGCTTACCTCAGAACTAAGCCTTAAAGAGAGGACGGGTCCGTCCCCTCTCCAAGGCTTAGTCCTGGGGTGAGCAAACCAGCCCTTCTGGCGGAGCTGCTGGACCAGCTGCACCACTTGCGTCAGTACTCTCCTATCGTACCAACCGAGTTGAAGTAAACCGTCGACCGTTGGGGACCCCATCCCCTCCCCAACATTCAGCATACGGTCCCAGCCGAAACGCCAAAAGGGCTGGTTTGCTTACCTCCTCATTACCCGTAATTTGACCGCTTCACCATATTGTCGGAACGGCTAATCAATGCGACCCACAGTAGGGACAGGACACAAACTCCGCCCACACGATCGGCGCGCCATGTAATTTTGAGAGCTCCTAGTCAATTTTTCGTCTCTTCATTAGTTTTGGGACCAAATCTACTTTTGCTTCGTGCAGGCAGCAGGCGCTTATTTCAAGGTATGCCATTGTTAGTGTGTTCAAGACGATGTGAACACATTGTAACAATCCAATAATGTAATGCTTTTTCAGAATGTGGTAATCCCTTCAAAAAGCGAGAAAGTGTCGGGTGCAGACCAAACACCACAACTGACGACGGCCTCCAAGTAAATCTGGTTAGAAGTTGTTCATAGTGATAGCTGATTTCTGGTAAATGATAGTTGTAATTAGTGACAATCGATAGAATACAACTGCAACAGGCTAATCATTTCATTGGCAGAAAACATTAACATTTTGTGAAGGCCGTCGTCACTTGTGGTGCATGGTCTGCACCCGACACTTTCTCGCTTTCTTGAAGAGGAGGGTAATTGAACATGTGTGTCAGCTATTTTCCGTTACATCTAGTCTCGTTCCCTACTTTCCTAGACTGGAATTTTTTTTGGAGTAAGCTCTCCATAAAAGCTTATCTGAGTGATGCGTGCAACCTTTTGATCACAGTACGTATGCTTCTATTTGTCATGATTTGCATATTCCTTTCCTGGCAATTTGTAATCATTTTCCATATCGTGAAATAAACCGTTATCACCGTAGGCGTAGCTGATTAGGAATCATCTGGCATCGTTTATAGAAATGCATTACGGCTCAGTTATACTTTGCAAAGGTTTTCTGAGTGCGTGCGTGACTCCCTTTTGAATTTTTGCCACGCACGCGTGCATCACCATGTTGCGCACGTGTGAGTGACTAACAGTCAAGGTGTTTCTGACTGGCTTTCTTTGTTGAAGCTGTTCCAATGTAGAATTCGCGTTGCGAAGGTTCCACAAGAATCACGACGCAACCCACAATCCCTATTGCATTGAATACCAAAGAAGAACATCCCAACTCCCCCACTAACTCCATGAGCCTTTCAAAAGGAGGACGCGGAAAAACGTTTCGCCTCAGGCGATTCTAATTTACAACCCGTACTTTCGAACAATAGATGCGATTTGAAGCCCTCGGAGAAGAGTTTCACCAATCAATCAGCGTTCTTGTAAAACTTACGTCTCTAATTCAAAATGCTCTCTTCTTGCAACTTCGACGAAATTTCGTTTTGTGGGACTCCTGGGATGGGATGTCGGAACCGCAAGAGATGGTAGAGTACTCGGTTGAATAGAACGTCAATATTAACGTTGAGCAACATTTAGGTCTTTCAAGACAGCAATATTTTCGAAGCGCCAAGCCAGCGAAATATTGAACATTCCCGCAAATAACCTCAAGGCGCAAACACTCAAGGAAGTCTCGAAGTGCGAAGACTGAACCAGCAAAGAAGAGCACAACTTCCAGGACACACAACACGGTGCTGTAGAAAAACATCTACGCACTGGCATAAGGAAACAGTTTATTTATCTGAATTGGCCACGATTGTAACCAGTTGACTGGACAAGTTCGTGTTCAGAGGAGTTTGTTATGGTCTAGAAGATCCAAAACTAGAGGTATCTAGTGTCCCAGAACATTAGCGACATTAGCTGGCTTCACGAACCCCTTTGAGCAGGTCCCCGGGTAGCCAGCTAATGTTCCTCAGAAGCCGGAAATAGTTATGTAACAGGAGAGCTAGTTCAGGTCCCAGACGAACTGAGACCGTTTCATGTCTTGTAATAGCCGCTCATCACTAAAGGAATTCACCCGATCACAGTGGTGTTCTAACTAGTAGTACGATTCCTTACGAAGCCTATATTATGATTGAGTGACACGGTCCCACAAACACACCATGCTGTGCTGCTCCTCAGGGCTGAGAATGTTATTTATAGGTATCTGAAAGAAGGTACATTAGTTGGAGTGCTGTAGAGAAAATCTGCCTACAAAACAAAATTCACGGGCGCCGTCAGCAGTACCGGATGGTACGTGGTACGCGCAAATTAACACTGATGTACAAAACTAATGGGCGAGATAGATGAAGTAATTTGAACTTGCCAGCAACACGTCATGGAAAGGTACATTCGTCCTTAAAGGCAGAGTTTACGATGAAAAGTTAGCTCATTGGAAATAAGGGTAGAGGTGGTCAGTGGAGCAGGGATGAAGAAGAAACCATTTGAAACGGCCCGAAACCCGAGAAATGGGACCCCTTCCTTGCCCGTTGATTTGCGCATTGATGCGACTCTCATCGCTGTGCCCTCTTCAACACTACGCTCTCTCTGCTATCTAATCACTCGCCACGTATAGACCTGCGGCGAGTGATTAGATGGTCGGTGGGCGTCCCCCAACCGCGCCAAGAGTGAGCCATGCTAGGTCGATGCCGAGGTCAAATCTTTCGCTGCCATTTGTGCGTCGTCAGCACCTTCAGGAGGTCCGTCTGTCTCCCGGGAAGTGGTCTGGAAAAGGTAAGGAAATCAAACGAAGCCACCGGTTACGCTCGCCGCACAGAGACCGGGGTCCCTATTCCAGTCGCATGCTTGGGATAGAGAAGGGGCGTATTGGACGAGTGTTACGAACGTAACTCTAGTTGCTCTAGTGCCAATGACATTGGGTCATAATGGGACCGCTGCCTCAAAATGCGCCCGCGCTTTTTCAAGCAGCGCCACGTGGCAACCGGACAGCGGAGGGTGGGGCTTGCGGACGAAGGTGTGAGTTGCAGGTCGGACGAGCTGCTTGCGCCTTTGTCGCGCACTTTCAAGCGGCAAAAGGGGCGCGACATCAACGCTTGTCCGTCCTGCCTACTACTACCCGGGATGGAACAGGCAAGGGCACGCCAATCGTGGAGCGTGCCTTTAAGAAAATTCCCCATTCCGGGATGGATTAGGCGATGGACGCGGTGGAAAGTCAGTAAGTCATTGACTATTCTGTTTCACACCGGGATTCGGCGACCTCTTTCACAGACCATCAAGACTGTTTTCAGGTAATTTTCCAGCCAGTCATGTGCCTATTTGTTTACACTTCTAATGTGTTGAACAGAAGTCCTGCACAGGCCGATAATAGCACGCCAATGGCTTCAAAAGAAAATGACGAAGTCGTCTGAAAGTAGCGAGGAGAATAACGGCGATATTAGGTCACTGTCCGCAAAATTGCACGTCTTTCTACGGTATTTTCAAAATTCCTTTTGTAATTGACCATTTTGTCCCGATGCTTAAAGCCAGCGTTGTTTTTAAAGACAGTTTTCTCGGATCATTCGACAATAACCAACAGAAACCCCTTTGTTTTCCGTAGGCAGAATCTGAAAGGTCTTGTTCATCAATGTAAATATAATCTATGAAAACAATCTCTCACGTGGGAGTCTACGATAAGCAGCCCGCCTGTTTCGAACTTTCTGGAAACGAGATGCCTAATTGATGGGATCTTAGGTCCCAAACTCAGTTCAATTTATTCAGGTGGCAAATGACGCACTACCTCCGATTCGATGAATGCGTTATTCAGTTAAAGGTAAAGGTGAAGTTGGGATTAGAAGGCAGCTCAATAGACGAGCGAGATGAAAAAAAAACATGAAAAACGGCTCAGAGCCCAGGGAATGACACTCCTTGCTTGATTGTTGATTTTTGCATTGATGCAATCTCATCGATGCTGCCCCCTTTAGCGTTAACGCTTTCTGCCAAATGGCTAGAGTCTGAGACGGCGAGACGGTGGGCGTGCCGCGGTGCTAGCGTCGCGCAAAGAGACAGTTAGGTCGCCGGGGCTTGTCATTCGCTGCGAACTGCGCGTCGCTCCGCACCCTCAAGGCCCCACCTTTACTCCACGAAAGAGTATCTCGACCTTCGAAGTTTATGCGTGGTTCCACTACTTCTCATCAACCGTATAACGCACAGTTGACGGCAGCTGGGGAAGACGTGTCGACGCCGTGTCTCGATTCTTCTTATTAGTATCTCAGCTATTCTCATCCACATTGATCTCAATTGCTCTATAGGTTGCCTTGCTGAGTGAATGGTGTTCTGCAGCGATCATAAAAGCCGGTCTTTTATTTGTAAAGGATGTATCGAGGCTCGAAATTTTCGTTGGTTACAGGTAAGTTCATGACTTTATTACTTTTTCTTTTCTCGCTCTTTTGGGGTTCTTTTTATGGTTTGAGTTCTTTTTGGATTTGTATTGGAACATCTTACCCCAGTATGAACTCGCAGAGCACGGGATTTCATAGGAAATTGAATAGACTTCCTCTGCAGAACTTCCGCCGCAGCTGTGTTGATCGCCGAAGACCGAATAAAACAAGAGGGGCTCCTGCCAGGATACGATTTCCAGTTGGTCTCTCATTCCTACATTCTCACGTTTCTCTGTGAAGCTTTCTTGGTCTGTTCAAAACGTCCTACAATATACCTAATTCCAGGTACATCATAATGTACGATGACTGTGATGAAAAAAATGCGGCTCGACAAACTAATCAAATGATAATGCAAGACCAGGTCGACGTCATATTCGGTCCCACTTGCAACAATCGTCAGTTAATTCTTCCACATCAGAAAATTGAGAGGGTTAGGAGGGAGAGGGTGATCATCATGTTTCACTTGATATCAGTTTTCAGAAAAAAAAACAAACTAGAATTTGATTTTCTAGGTTGTTTTCTGTTTTTCAATCCCCGACAGATAAGGTTAGCACTTTCTAATTGAGACGTGCAGTTTTGGAGGTAATCAAACCGAAAACTTACTGAGCAGGCTAACAGATACCTTAAGTCGTGAAGCCTACACAAGTACGTGATGACAATTTTTGCCATAACTTTCAGCGGCAATGATTCATACATGTGTCGTAGAAATCTACCAACTAATCTTACCCTTGGACCGACATCACACTCGGCGACGAGTAAGCGATGGAGCGATCGCGATCGATACCGCAGCCGACTGCATCGACTAGGGGCGGGCGCAGATCGCCACGGTCGCGTGTGCACATTTGCACGCGCTGCAATCGCTGTCCGTCGCCGAGTGTGCAGCCGTCGTCTTACCGTAATCTCCAGAAAACCTTGTTTTTATTTGGTCGATTTGTGACTTGTTTTGTTTCCAATCCATAAGAACATTTTTCCTGGACATGAATGGAATCACGCATCGGAACAAATGAAGACGCAACCGACATTAGCTTTGTCAGAACTCATCGGGAACTGTATTACTATATTTCAGCAACACTAGTCTCATCAGTTCTCGCCAGCTCCTACAACATTCCCATGTTTACATGGGGTCTCAGCACTTCGTCCGCAATCCACGACAGTGGACGTTTTCCCACTGTCGGTGTGCTGTCAGTGAGCACGTTCAGGTAAGGGGTACTCGCTTGATTTGGAAAAGAGCACCTTTTTTCAAAAAACAGGTCAATAGCGCAATACCATATCGTTAAGCAAACCCTGCTGAAGTATCCATTTTTGCATTTTGTAATCGGGGGCCGTTAACTTTCCGTCGCCGCGCCAGACCACGGCGGACCTGATGAAAAGAGGGATTCAATTTCGGTATAGTTCTCTGATTTCCCTCCAATGACGGGCCTGTTCGCAGTTCTACAGTTCTCTTCGAGCAGAGAAGCACAAATTTTGATCGTGGAATATGCCTTTGAGTCTGTAAAGTACCACTTCTCCCAAAACTGCCCGTGTTGAACAAGGGCCCTGTGGAGCATGGATGAGCGACCGGCAAAAAGTCCAATCGGCATTCAATGGACCTAATCTGGTTGGAACCTGAAAAATTTAACGAAAAATACCGTATCTTTTCACATTGTACATGCTAAATTCATTCACTTTATAGTCTCAGTGTCGCAGTGAGAGCGCTTCTGCATTCATTCGAATGGGATCAGTTCGCAGTGATTTATTCAGATTACGGTTCTATTGATACTGCTTGTAGTACCATGAAGAGTGATATAGAGGTAGGTTGAGTAAAGAGAGAGGTCAGAACGCTAAATAAGTTGATTTGAATAGACGTTTTGTGCCATGAAAATAATGTTACGAATTTTACTGATTAACACAGCGATAATATAAAGGGCGGAAGTGATGCGATTTCCCATCGCTCGATCCTCTGATCGGCCCCGGCTCGGATCATGATTTCTTCAGAGCCTGAAAAAGCTCAAAGGCACATGAATAGCTATCGCCCGAACATAATTTCAATCTACAAAAGTCATTTGACAGGATTGTGAACTAGACGGTATCATAGATAAGTTAGGCCTCTATCTGTGAATATCGACCTGGAAGGATCTCTTGTCGCCCCGAGTTGAAGAGGCGGCTCAAAACATCAGCCCAGCAAATCGCTCCTCATGATCTTCTTTATATGCTGAATTATTCTAAAATCCCTGTTGTTGCCGAGATTCACAGAGAGCCGAACTTGGCCGCTAACCACAATGGGCGTCGACAGGTTCTAGAAAACTGTAATGCGAAACCCTTCGCTCAGAAAGTACCATACGGCCACTTGAAGACAGGTTATACAGAGTTATACAATTTTTTTTACAGAATGTGCTGAGCACCGTAGCCATCAACTACGTTGGTCATTTGCCAGATATATCATTTGAAAGTGTCAAAAGAACGATGGAACAAATCAAAGAACGTGCAAGAAGTACGGATCGTGATTCGCCTTTCTATTATTATTTACTACCAGTGGGGCAATTATAGTATTAATGAATTTCATCCTTTTCTCGAATGCGACCTAAAACCAAAGCAAACACGTCGGAGCGTTTGTCAACAAGCCTTAAAGGCAGCGATTACGATAAATTCAAGAAGGGTTCAGTGTGATGGTGCTCAATGGTACGCCAGTGGCGAAAAAAGCAGAAAAATCCGTCAAGAAAACGCAAAACGGGACCCCTTTTTTGGCCGTTGGTTTTCACTCATGAACAGGTAACAGCTCAGAAAGTGGACGTATGAACGAGTTCACCGCAACGCGTTTGATGGCACCATGCCAAACCACGCTTTAATCGAGATGCTCCATTGCGCCGCTGCTGGCACGCAGCTCGTCCAAATCAACAAGTAAACTAGTGGGCGGATCGCTTTTGGGGGCGGAGCGCTTTCGAAGTCCTGCTCCAGCGCACCTTTCGTTGTGAAAGCGCCACACTCGCTTCCTGGCAGCCAAGTAACTGCTTCGTGTGGTGCATATGCTTCCCCGATGCGCTCCCTCTTTATCGTAATCGCTTCCTTTGAAACGTATACCATCAGAATTCAGCCCATTGGAATTGCGGTAGAGGTGATTAGCGGTGCAGGATGAAGAAAAACCATGAGAAATGGCCCAACCCGAGAAATGGACCCTTCTTCCTTTGATTTCCGCATTGATGCGACTCTCATCGGTGCTGCCCTCTTCAACGCTAACGCTCTCTCTGCTAACGGCTAGAGACCTGCGGCGAGTGGTTAGCCAGTCGGTGGGCGTATCCCATCGATAGCGCGGCAGGTAGGGCAAGCTAGATCGCTAGGGCATATCCTTTTCCTATCCTATCCACGCTATTTGCGTGTCGGACCGCTTTTTTTCAGGAGATCTGCCTGTCTTGCCACTGGTAAGCTTCCCCAGCTCCGACCTTGGAATTCTCTTTTGAGAACCTAAGTTCCAAAACGCTTCAAAAAGGCGGTACCACAGTAATAATCAATGGTTAGATTGATGCTCGCTGTCACGGCCTTTAGCACGGCACTGGTAAAATCGAAGTGCTGATTTTAATCCCACCGTGTGAACATTTTAGGAAGTTCAGCTGGTGATAAGGCAAACAGGAAGAAATCCCCGGAAAAATATATAAAAAAGGCCTTTCCATCTGTTTTGTTTGATCTATTCATTCATCATTGATGATCCATTCATTCACATTTCAATTCCT